TCTTAGATAAATACCTTTGTGGCCAAGTTGAGGATAGATAAAAAGGTAGAGGGAGAGTTAAATCCGGACAAGTGAGAGACAAAAGAACTACAATGGTGTAGCAAGGACAGAAATCTATTGAGCTATTTCTACTTGGATGTCTCAAAAGCAACTTAATCTCAACATGTATGAAACAGAACTCACTGTCCTCCTAAATGGGCCCCCTGCCACTCAGTGTCTTGGGAAATGACTGCATTATTTGATAGCTAGTTCAAACCAAAACTTAGAGCCAATCAGGCTTGTATTTTAAAATCTAATTAAATACTCTTATCCTGCGGTTTCTAATTCCCTGATATCTCTCAAATCCATTTGTTTTTTTTCCTTCCCCTACCACATCATACTCCACCATCATTTCTCTTCTTTTTCTTTTAATTTCTTTTTGAGACAGGGTCTCACTCTGTAGTTCAGGCTGACCTTGAATTCCTTGGATGGCCCAGGCTGGCCTTAAACTCTTGGTGATCTCCTGCCTCAGCATCCGAGAGCTGGGATTGTAGGCCTGTGCCACACCTGGCTTCGACCATCATTTTTGCCATACATCCATCAAACAAACTCCTAATCAACACAGTAGATACTGTTGACCCTGGAACTTCCTTCTCCACCTTGCTTCCAGAATGATCCTTCTAACTCACTACCAAGGATAGCATCATCTCTTTCAGAAATCCTCAGTGACATCCCATTATTCCTAGGGTAAAGTCTTCAATCTTCAACAAGGCCAACAGACCCTCTGAAGTCTGGATCCTGCCCAATAACAGTTAAGAATACCTAACATTACCGAGCAATTCTTTTGTGCTATGTGCTGCAAACATTATTTCATTTTATCCTCACAGCAACATCATGAGGCAGGAACTATTAACATCATTCTCTTGTCGCACACTTGGAAACTGAGTCAAGGAGAGATTATGTAATTTATCCACTGCTATACAACTAATATTGGTTGTCTGACTCCACAGTACGTGCTCTTAAAATTTCACACTACTGTCAAACTGTCTACCTCAACCATACTGAACCACTTTCAGTTCCTAGAACTCATTCTCTCTCTCTTTTGTAATGAGGCCTTCACACATACTCTCCCAATGTCTAGACAATATTTATTCATTAAGTCTCTGCTTAAATCATTGCCTTGGAAGAGTCTTTCTTATCCAAAATTAAAGTTTTCATTCATTTACTTCTTTATAGTCTGTCTCCTTCCAGTAGAATATCGAAATTGTTACCACTGGTCCTCAGTTCTCAGTATGAATATTCTCCAGGGGTTCACTTAACATTTGTTTCAGGAATGTATGCATGATGTGGGGGTAGAAACTCCCTAAAATGGAAATTTCATCTATCTAGACTGAAGAGAAACAGAAAGAAGGCAAAGATAAATTTGGTCATCCACTGGTTATTTATTTTGTAGCCTTCAGGTCCCAGCCAGTACTCTTGAGAACTTACAGACCTCCTGGGGCAGACAGACATGTAAATATGCAATTATAGCACAATATACATAAAGTACCTCTTACAATCATGGGAGGAATAAAGTACATTAGACACAGAAATGAAAAAGTGTAAAGTCTATGGGAAATCTTCACAGTAGAGGAAATTGTTGAAACTTGTGCAAGATGAGTGAATCTTGAAATATATTTCACAATAGTTCGTGTATTTTACTAGTGAAAGGGGAGAAGCAGCATCCAGTACATACCTAGGCACTTTATATCTCATTTTAATTCTCACAACAGTTCTGTTATTTCCACGTTATAGATGAGAAAGTCCAAGCTAATAAAGATCAAGTAACCTGTCCAAGGTTATAGAAGTATATTAATAAAGGAGCAGAATTTTGAGCCCAAGTCTGACTCCAAGTCTGACTTACTTACCATTTATAGTGCAATCCTTTGACACAGTACTTTCCAGAGCCTGTTTGCTTTTATTTTCAATACAATTGGTAACAAAATTGGTTACCTAGTCTCCCACTCTAATATAAATAACAGCAAAATAAAAAGCCAGGAAGAGATTGAAATAAAGTATACTAACAGCAAGTAGAGAAAAACTAAAAAACTGGACACAATATTTAAAACATATGGGTCATAAAGTCCTATATGTTCTGCAACAGTACTTGATGTGCATAATGATGACTCTATTACGAAAAAAAAATGGTTGTTATAGTGACTGCTATGAGATAGAAAAATAACTTTTTATACTTAAAACAGTAAACTTTAAGTATCTATAAAATTAATTTCTCTCTGATAAAATGAATAATAACAATTCTCTCTGAAGTGTTTATGAGAAAAAATATCCCAGTATCCTAGGATATGAGGACTTTTTTGGTGCTTTACATTAAATTCAAGCCAGTGCAGAAAAACTGTCAATTTCAGTTTAAATATGTAGCCAAGTAAATTACACATTTTAAAAATTTCTCAGGCCAGGGATTTAGCTCAGTGGCACCACACCTACCTTGTAAGCGCAAGGTCCTGAGTCCAATCCCTGGTACACCCCCAAAAAAGAAAGAAAAATTCTCATACATGACTCTGAACAACACATAATAGGCTGACAAACATAAAAGTGTCATTGAACAGTCTTTAACATTTTCTAAAAACTTAATAAAACAAGATAAATTGACTATATACAAAATAGGGGTGAAGGGGAACCCTAATATTTTTAATCTGCTGCACTCCATTTAAATAGGTATGCATGTGAAAAACAAAGGAAACAATTCAGGCAGTCACAGACAAAACCGGGTGAGTAATTTACCATCAATTTATTTTGACTACACCCTACCTAGGCCTGACTTTTCAACCTGAAGATATTAGCGTCTTTATAATTTAAGCTTTTATTATTTCATATAGTTTTCTTTTTTAAGAAAAGGTTGCATTTAAAGAACAAATATTTGTTTTTTTTGTTTTTAAGACTAAGAGAAAACTGTTCTACACTCATCTTCAACAAGCTGACTAGAAAGCATTTAGTATCCTTTATGATTTCAGAAACTTTCCACACAGAAAATAGTTTGTAACAATGTAAAAACACACCCACTACTCTTACATGTTAAAAGAAACAAAGAAAAATCTTGCAATTAACTCTTAACTCTCACATACACATTTTCTTTTTAGGAGCAATGCAGTTTCTGCCTAACTCTAGAAAAACAGTACTATACTTGTTTACTTATATTCTTGTCTAATTTCGGCCCCCCAATTCAATGTTCTACGGAACGCTCTAAAGTAGTGAATTCATAGTAAGAGTTTGTACAATAACTTATTAGAAACAAAATCAATGTGAATGATCACAACAAAAAAAATTTTATATTTTTTCTACAGTTGTACTTATAATACTCTTCCTTACCTGGACGCTCTTCAGAATAAACTCACTTTTCATTCTTACATCTTTAAAGGGACACCTCTTAGACAGCATAAGCAGATGTGCAAGAAGCTTATTCAACTCATCCAAAGAAACAGTATTTGAAAGCTCATCTGAAGGACGGTAAGTTGCCTCTTTCACTGAACGGAGACACTCGGTTTTTCTCAAAATGATTTGCCTAATGGTTTCCAGTGCTGTCTCTCTAGTAGTTGAATCTCTACTGCACAATCCATCCCATCTCACTTCATTTTCTCCTTCAGCCATGACAATCACAGTTTTTCCTTTCCGGTCTTCAGTCACCCTTTAGCATGCCCCAAAAGCACTTAGTATTTTTTAAATGAAATTTCCAATAAATTCAGAGAAATCGAGACGTCATGAAAACACAGGTCTGGGTTTCATTTAGGAATCATAAGTGTCTTTTAAATTGATGTTTTGAACTCATCTACAGGATTAATCATCCTCTTACTCTTGTACACGAAGGGGCGGTCTTCTGGACAGAGATTGAAGAAAACAAAGTTGGAAAGTTGCAATCTTACAGCGCTGGCTTTGCTGGACAGGGAGTCTCGGGGAAGTGTTCTCTGTCTCGCAGGTCAACGGATATCCTCACGGTGTGGAGCTGTCAAATCGTGCTCTGTCCAAAAAGACTGGTAACAGTTTAACGTTCTCCAACCATTAGGTCTTTCCTTTTTTTTTTCTGTCTGTGCAGCCACCGGTTCTCCCCGGGGTTCTCACCCCGCCCGTCCTCCGACTAGTCCCC